CAAAAATTGACCAAAAGGCTCTGCTATCAAGCAGCTTCAGGACAGGGTGATTACTTAATTTGTGTTCATAACTATAGTGATATTGTTTTATTCTGTTGGTATCATAAGCATTTTTGACTTACATGTAATATTTAACATTGCAGAGCTTCCCATTGTACAGTGGTGTGAAAAAGTGTTTGCCCCCTTACCGATTTCTTATCTTTTTGCATGTTTGTCACACTGTAATGTTTCAGATCGTCAAACAAATTTATATATTAGTCAAAGATAACACAAGTAAACACATCATGCAGTTTTTAAATGAAGGTTTTTATTATTAAGATCCCAAAAGTCTTGGGGATCATCAAGATGTTTTCTGGCAAAACTGAGACGAGCCTTTATGTTCTTTTTGCTCAGCAGTGGTTTTCGTCTTGGAACTCTGCCATGCAAACCATTTTTGCCCAGTCTCTTTCTTATGGTGGAGTCATGAACACTCACCTTAACTGAGGCAAGTGAGGCCTGCAGTTCTTTGGATGTTGTTGTGGGGTCTTTTGTGACCTCTTGGATGAGTTGTCGCTGCGCTCTTGGGGTAATTTTGGTCGGCCGGCCACTCCTGGGAAGGTTCTCCACTGTTCCATGTTTTCGCCATTTGTGGATAATGGCTCTCCCTGTGGTTCGCTGCAGTCCCAAAGCTTTAGAAATGGCTTTATAACCTTTTCCGGACTGATAGAGCTTCATTATTCTCTTTCTCATTTGTTTTTGAATTTCTTTGGATCTCGGCATGATGTCTAGCTTTTGATGATCTTTTGGTCTACTTCACTTTGTCAGGCAGGTCCTATTTAAGTGATTTCTTGATTGCGAACAGGTGTGGCAGTAATCAGGCCTGGGTGTGGCTATAGAAATTGAACTCAGGTGCGATAAACCAGTGTTTTGACAGGGGGGCAAACACTTGTTCACACAGGGCTATATAGTTTTGGATTTTGTTTTCCCTTAATAATAAAAACCTTCATTTAAAAACTGCATGATGTGTTTACTTGTGTTATCTTTGACTAATATATAAATTTGTTTGACGATCTGAAACATTACAGTGTGACAAACATGCAAAAAGATAAGAAATCAGTAAGGGGGCAAACACTTTTTCACACCACTGTATATAATATGTTTGTGAAGACAAATTATGGACTTACATCTGACATAATAGCTGAAATCTATCATGGTTCAGTCTCTTTGTCTATTTTGATTGGATTATCAAGCTCCTAACATTGCAAAGTAAGTATGGCAGAAAAGGAGTTCCTTTGGCATTTTACAACATTCTTTTGGTACTGTGCAATGGAGAAATTTGTTTTAGATTTTTTTTTTTTTAGATTTAGAGGCAGAATTGCCCCAGAGGTTATGGCTTCCTATACAATGTCAACCACTTTTATTGTTGAATCACAACAGACTCACTGTTTTCTTTTGCTGTTAAAGAAACTGATGTTTGTTTCTCTTGCTTTCCTCAAAAAATAAAACCCTCTTAAAAGACATTATGTTGGGCTGCATGAATCAAAATAAGTAAGAAGCTGTTGCTGGTTGCTGCCTTTTAAGCTGTGCAGCATCCGTGGATGGATCTTATGGCAGCAGAGGGTTTGTGTCCAATTCCTGGTCTGTCAGGTAGAGTTACTGCCTCATGGCACTGCCCTGCACCTATTCAGATAGATCACAGCCAGCACTAAAGAGTTATTTTAAAGTCTTACTCCCAAGACAGTGATCACGTTACCTCAGTTGGAATAACTTGTACTAGTGGTTGGTGCTGTCTGACTGACAGGAGTGTGTGCTGGTGCACCGATCTATGAATAAATGTGGAAGACTGTTCAATAACCAGTCAGTGGTGATGGTTTATAGCTTTGAGTCTCTTTGGTCTGCCATGGTGGATGTAACACACTAAAGTAAAATTGTGACAGCTTTAACATTTTCTCTTAGAATCAACTCCTACTGTGTGTTGATCTGTTTTGGGGGCATATTTTAATCAGATTACAAATGTCAGGCTGAAATATGCTCATTTCCCAAAGCTCCAAACCCACTGTCCTTGCTCTGATGACAGAGCAGATTCCTGGCTCTGAATCTTTGTACCTGTATTTAACAACACCAGAGGTCATTTGATAACCTCATGTTCAACTATCTAAAAATAACTTTGGAGATTTCAGAGGTTCTGTTTGAGTACATCCTTGAAAAAAAGTTTGCAGGGTTTTTTTTCTTTTTTCAGGGCACTTGAATTCATTACATTAAATATTGTATTAAGCGCACCAGAGACAAACTAAACTTTTGCCACTGTTGGTTACATGACATTTGTAGCAAAAAGTAAGATCAGTGCATCTAATGAAAATATACATTTTAATTTCAAATAATGATATCTGCAATATTTCTTATTATTTTAACTTACGTTCAACAACATTGTTAATTTTAACATAATATTAAAGTCATTAGGCATTCAAACACTACTGCTCACATAAACAACAATGCCTATGTGTACAGTAATACCAACAAGACCATTTCAGTTAAAATGGGTTAATTTCTCTTTGCTTTGTCTAACTGGAAACCTGTACTGCAGATGACAGACAAATGAAGAACTGAGGTGGTGCAATTATTTTTATATTTCCAATTGTCATGAAATCATTTTCAGTAGGATACCTCCCAGTTTTAGTTCCTGTTGTTGAGGACATTTTTTGACATCTTAATTTGGAATCTATGATCTCTGACAGTAGACCATGCTGGCCAGTTACAGAGCTCTGGACCTACCTACCCACAGTGTGTACCTCTGTTTCTCTTGTGTGTATGTATATGCAGACATAAGATAAGATACCTTTATTCACTGCATGGTATATACAACCAAATTCAGTTGCACTGCCTGAACGGTGCTCAGTATTAATTCAATCAAATTTCACACTCTCACACCCACATACCTTTAGCAGACATACAAATGTCAGTGTATGCGAAAGTAAAAAAAAATAAAGAATTTAAGTGCTGTGTGATGCAGACTGTTAAAATTATTACACATTTATAAACAATTATTACACAAGTTAAAATATATTAACAATATATAAATCAGTAAATCATTAGAAAAGGTATTGCACAAGGTTATAGCTGCATGGTGTGTGATTTCAGTGCAGAGTTCAGTGTAGATATGGGAACTACTTTTAGGAGCAGTGCAGGAAAGGGACTACTAATTCTTTGTGGGACTAATTCTAATTTCATTATGAAAGGTAGGCCCTGCCACCTGCTGGTGCAAAAGGACAAAAGCTTTCACTGGATTACTTTTTAGATTAGAAAGATAATCAAAAGATTATCTCCATATCATCTTGATTGTGCTTTACATTAAAATGTTGGTCTACTCACTCAGAAAGTAGACTACTATCTTTTTATACTGTTTTAAATCAACCAGTTGGCAATAACTCAGCATAAAGGTGAAAGTATTTTTATAAAGGTGCATTAGACTGTAGTACAGGAAGCATACAATTCTGCAGGATCAATATATTAGAGCTATAAAATATCACTCTTTGACCCATGCTGCTTTGAACCACTTCTGTTTAAATAATGTAGGCATATTACACTCTGACAGATCCTGTCTTCCCTTTAACTTAAATTGGTGTTGGCTCAGTTTTAAATATATTTCTAGCATAAGAATACTGTAGCTGCATCAAATTGATGGTTATACATGAATTTTTCCATTGCCCATGTGGTGCTATTAATATGCCAAGTAAATGTGTTGTTCCCTGAAGATCTGCTGACATACTATTAAATCTTAGGTGGTCACAGAATAATGTTTTTTCTTTGCTCACTTCTCTGAGTGAAAACCATGTCTCATGATTTAGACTTCACTTTTTTCTTATCTCTGTTAGGTATTTTTAGTCAGATAGATATTGGATAGATACTTTATGTATTAGAAATGTTTAGTGGAGATAGGATGTCTAGTTAGACTGTTAAATGCTTAGGCATGCTTATGAGTTTCTACAGGGTACATCTGGTCAAGGATACTAGAGAGAAGAGTTGATGACTGTCAGCAGACAGGGTGTTTAATATTATTATTATGACGTGTATAACTGTAGCCTTAGCCATAATATGTTCTTATGTTTAAGTCACGACATGTACTAGAGGTCGTGAGCCCAACCGAGGGGATATAATGTATAGGCCTGGTGGGTTCAGGGTCTTTCATCTTACATCTGCCTGTGAGCAGTTTGGAGGTGCAAGATGCCTGAGCGTGTAATGTTAATTTTACCTGTGATCCTTTGAATAAATCAGCACTGTTTTGAAGTTACTTGGACTGTCTCGTCTCTCAGAGTTAGCAATGGTAACAAGAACCAAAGACCAACATCTCAGACTGAGGTTTTACAGGAATTATGGCTGCTGTCATTGTATTATTTATTTATATGTTAAATGTGCATGGATGTAGTTAGAAAACCTAAGAAAATCTTAATATGAATTATTTTGCAGGATGATTTTGTATAGAACACGGTATCAAAGAGAGTATAATAAAAGTGAGCAAATGTAAACTTTAATTCATTACAAACAAATTACGTTAAAGAGGAAGCACAGAATAATGCTCAATAATTGGTGCACTATACTTCAAATTGGCTTGTAAAATACCATGTGGAGGTACTGGCTTGTAACTGCAAAAAAAACCCACCATTTTTCTAGTGTTTTGAGAACTCTGAATGATCGGTCAAGCTTGTATTTCGATATTCTATTGTCTTGGTTTTTAAATAGACAACCTAGCGAAATTTAACCCTTTCTTTGGCCATTATTATTGGCCTGTGCAGCAGCAGCAGCGGCGATGAAAATTAGTCTAGTGCATTTGCCTGTAAGCACAAATGGGCAATGCATTGGCTGAACCGGGTGAAAACAAAGAATTTCGAGTGCGAATGTGTAGTAATTTTGATGGCAGTATTCTAGCCTTTCTTCTTGAGACCAATGCATGGATGTATTATCCACGGACCAATCCCGTCCAGTTTAACACATTTCCTGCTTGAGGTCGGGGTCCAACCATCGGAGCGGTTGCATGTGCACTAATCAACACAGAGAAGAAGCCTGGTAGAGTTAAGATGGCGGCATGTGGGTGAGGAGGCAGGGATCCGAACTCGAGGTTTTTCGCCAATAAAGGATTCATATGATTCTTAATATAAACAGTAATTGAAAGAGTAATAATTTCCGCATCTTTCACACTTTTGTGTGTGATTTTGGATTAACCCAATGACATCTATACACTTCGTGGTTCACCCGTTGCCCGGGACCGAGGATCAGCTCAATGACAGGTATTTTGTTGCAGCCCATGGAAACGATGAATCTGGACGAGTATGTATGTCCGGGGTGTAATATAAAGCATTTAAAGTTGTATTTATGAATGATGCTGACACTGTCATGCGCTTACATTCGGGTTTTAATTATTTAAATACCCCCCCACCCCCACCCCCCCGGGTTGAAATGAAGTCCGGCATCTTGAACAATCCACGTTAGCTAGCTAAATGCTAGCCCGTTAGCTAACTAGCGCAGGACTAGCTAGCGGGTTGTTTCCTTGGTTCTCTGGAAGGATGGGCTCATAGTCAAAGTTGAGACAGACAATGCAGGTTGGGGGATGGGGGAAAGATGGGGAAATAAAGGTGTTAAAGCACCACTTTTTTGATGATTAACGAGTTTTCTTTTTTTAAAATTCAGTCAACGGTATTTTGACATTTTCAGCATATGTTTTGCGGACGTCTCGTTGATTGTCATGATCAATGAAGTAGCTAACGTCAAGTAACTGACGACTAGCTGCTAATGCTAGCAAGCTAACTCGCTACCACGTTCTTGACAAAGCCAAATATTTTTATTTGATGTCTTTTGAGTCAGTGTGGTTGTTAAAGTTTAATAGCGCAATTTAAAGAATTACCAAAAAATTACCTCGTTTGTCTGTTTTAGCATTGTACACTGAGATGATTAAATATCTAAAATGTGCAGCGAAGCACAGTTAGCAACACTGGATTCACATTAATCCCGTTGTCGACTTTCATAAGAGACAAGTCGTGGTTTTAACTGACATTAGTAAATTCGAAAGTACACAATATTGTTAGTACTGACATACTGGCTTGCATCATAAGTTACAAGTGAAGTCCAGAAAATTGTGTGCGACCTGTACTTTAGCAGAACATTATTTATAATGAATCTATTTATATCGTCCATTGAGAATGAACTGATTAAGGAGCTGTTCTACATGTAGACCAAGAGGCTGAGACGTGACAGTGTTTTTTTAGAATGACCTTGTGATTACGAACGGGATATAGACTTGGAGTATTTGAATGATTTTTGCAGGCACTTCTATAGTCTTACTCTGGAGGCCCAGCCTTGGTCTGAATATAAGGATAGCTACGGATTGTTGCGCTAACCAGTTCTAAATACCTAACAGGATCATATTAGAAAACGCCAGTCAAACATCTTGGTGCTGTAGACCATCAGTTCCTTGAGGTTATGACTGTTTGACCCCCAGGCATGCATGCTATAGTCACCATGTGCTGCTGGGAGGCCACCTCTTCTTACTTTCTCATGAAGGAACTTTTTGTTGTCAAAGCAGACTATTGCTTCTATCTGAAATAAAAAGGCTTGGTCCAGCTGGACTGCACTTGCCTGTCATGAGCATCCTGTCAGATTTCCTTAACCAAATGCAAGTGGTTTGTTTGACCTAACTGATGGCACTTTAGCTTAGCACAGTGAAATGGTTCTTCCCTTTAGTGAAATGTTATTCTGATATGGGTTGTGAAAAATGAATAAACATTTGCACATTTACGTCCAAATTGTACTTAAGCTATGTGACTATCTGAGAAATCATTTCAATATTACTTATCAGGATGTTTTGTGCATTTTTATGTGTAGACTTAGCATTAGCATGTAAATGTCTCAATAGTTGATACATGATCAATAAATGTGTTGCATGTACACTTATCTATGAAGACGAGTTTTCTGTGGTTGGATAAGAATGCAGTTGTTAGGGATGCACCGATACCATTATTCAGATGGAGCACATCTGGGTACTTGCCAATACCGAGTACTGATACTTACTTAAAAACAGTGCAGTCTTTTTACTGTAAAAATGACCATAAAAGTGCAGTCACTTTAGAGTTTTTGTTTTTATGAGATTTGCGTTCTAATTATGATTAAATACAAGAAAAGCAGGTTGTGGAAATTACCTTAAAACGTTCTGTTTGGACATGCCACTGCCACCACTCTAATCAGTTATAAAATGTAAGTGACCAAATTTCTGTAGCCTCCTATTGGGGGTGTGATAAGGTCTCGTGCTATGAGCGCTTGCAATATTAAAATGTGACACTATTTCTCACCGAGGCAAAAGATGTCTCGTGATATCAGTAGATAACAGAATCAGGCCAATATGATGGAGTGTGATCATATATTCACATTAGTTTGGCAAAAACACAACTGCCTGCTATGTTTTAATGCACAGGGCTGTGTTGGTCAGGGGGTGAGGGGCTGCAGTGTAGTAGTAGGCATGTATGATACGACCACGTTGTGATGAGCTGATGTGAGTAGCTTCATTCACGTTTCCAACCCGTGACTTTCTGTTGTGTTCTGGTTAGCCATGCTGCTAACGTAGCCTAATCTACAGTTTCAAGTCAAGATTTTTATTTACTATTTATGCATAAACAGACAGTCTAGCCATATAGGAATTCTTGTGCAGCTCTCCTTTGGCGTCAGGTAAGGAGTCAAAAGCCAGAAAGAACACTTAGTCTTAAAAATAAAAAAGTTACATAAAGGCAACAAAGCATTAAAACCACAATACACAAAAATAGGGTAATAGTATTTCCCACAGTGAACTTCAAACATCACACTTAGTAATTCACATGGTGGAGTTAGATATGTCATTACGCTTGGTGAGGTAGTGAGGGGTTATAACATACTAAAACACAGTTTATATTCAGGCTTGCTTCCATTGCTTAGTAGAGAATGTTCAGCTATTACTCAGGTCCCACAAGAGAACACTATTGATGAGATGCTCTTACAAAAATACCTTGTGGGACATTTCTGTATTATTATTGTGCATGTCTAGTAAGGGGTGGTTCCATCAGCATATTTAATGATGATGGCGTTGTCATGGTTGGAGACACAGTCGTGGGTGTACAGGGTGAAGAGTTTGGGGCTGAGACAGCAGCCCTGTGGTGAGCCTGTGCTGATTGTGAGCTCAGCAGACACCCTCCCTCCCATTCTGACCACCTGTGGTCTTTCAGTCAGGAAGTCCAGAATCCAGTTACATGTGGGAGTTGGGACACTGAGGTCTGTCATCTTCCCAATCAGCCTGTCCAGGAGAATGGTATTGAATACAGAACTGCAATCCAGGAAGAGCATCCTAGCATAGGTACTGCTGTTGTCCAGGTGTTTCAGGGTGTGGAATAAAGGCAGAGCCGTCGCGTCGTCCACTGATCTGTTGGGGCCGTAGGCAAACTGTAGGGGGTCTACAGTGTCTAGCACCATGTGGTTAACATGTGTGAGGACCAGTTTCTCTAAGCACTTCATGGTGACTGATGTGAGCGCTACTGGCCTCAAGTCATTCAGAGTAGATGTGTCTGATGTCTTAAGGACCGGTATGATAATGGATTTTTTTGAAAAAGCGAGGAACTACTGCTTGGGTTAAAGACAGGTTGAAGATGTCTGTATACACACTAGCTAGTTGATCCCCACAGGCTCTCAACACTCTAGGGGGCACACCGTCTGGTTCCGCCGCCTTATGGGGATTTACCTGTCTCAGGGCCTTCAGGCCCTGTGTGTGCGTCACCTGAAAAGCAGTGTCCCCTGGGTCGCAGGGGGATTTTGAGGGGGTGTCTGTGTTCAACCTGTCAAACCTCGCAGTTTAACATCCAGTACTAATGAAAATGGATGGTGTGTTGTTATGGTGCATTAGCTGTGGCCCAAATTCAACAGTGAATAGTGATGAATGCTCATGCTAACCTTTCTAACCAGGTTTTTGACCTTTTTAGGAGTGCAGCCCTCTTTTAGGATGAGATTAGTTTACAATCTCCTTCCCCAGAATGCCTCAAAAAAAGCACATTATGTCACAGTCAGCAGTTTAAATTTGTAATTTAAAAGGGTTGATGCAGATAACTGCAGCCTCTTTGCTGTGCACATTCCATATATGCTCTGGTATACAGAAGCTGTTTGGTCTCAGTTTTTAAAGTCTACAAAACATCAACAGATTTTCATATACACAGTTCATTAGACTAAACCATTAACTATGTAAAATTCATGTACTACAGTCAGCATCATGAGCACTGTATGGGTTTAGAGGGTGAACCGTTGACCAGGTGAATTTATTGTGGGCAGAGTGAAGAATTTGCAATTTATTTTACTGCTTGTTTAACATGTGTTTGAAAAACTGCTTGTACTCTGTCCATTTCTGGGTTTTGTTGCCGATGTCGAGAGCTATTGTCTCACTCACAATTTTGTTATTTTTTTTCCCCCAGTGTGTGCGTGCTCTCTGACACAGTTCTCTCCCTCAGAGAAGCAGAGCTTGCAGTCAGCTTTTTGTCACTGCCACTTATCTCAAAATATCTCCAGACTGCTAAAATTTCTTTTCCTTCATCTAATGACCTGCCAAACTAGTGTGAGGTTATTGTAATGTTGCCATTAAGTGGTATCGGTGCGTAGTATCAGACAACTTTAACAAGTATGAGTACTAGAGAGTGGCACGGAATTGATTCTGGTATTGGGACATCCCGAAAAGCCATTTGGCATTTGTAGACATCTTTTTGTTTGAGTTTGAAGTAGATAAAGGGCATTTATTAAAACAGATGCTTTGGTAGCTGTGGGAAGTGTCCAGGTATGGAAGAAACAGATTACAAAATATCTAACCATTGTCACCACCACCACTGGTATAATTAATACCTCATGCTGACTAAGAAGCCGTGCTCCTAATTTGCCTTATTATTTGACAACTGTGTAGCGGAAGTTGTATAGGTGATGTATAATAGTTGTCCTGGGGTTGCTGTGCATTCATGTTAACTATTTGACATGCACCTAAACTGTCTGAGTCATTATGTTGACAGTAGTTTTTTTATTTTTATTTTAATTTTTTATTAAATTGATTGTGTAACAAGAGCCGTCCCTGGTGGCTAGTGGTTAAGGCCCAGTGCTCTCGCCGCTGTGGCCCGGGTTCGAATCAGGGTTGCGTCAGGAAGGGCATCCGGCGTAAAACATGTGCCAAATGTCAACATGCGAGTCATGAGTTTGACGATTCGCTGTGGCGACCCCTAAAACGGGAAAAGCCGAAAGTGACTTTCTAAATTGGTTGTGTAACATGTCATTCACCTTTTATAATTATGGGTCCATACTGCATTTTTAAATGACATACATTAACATGCATTATTAGGTCCTAAATGTTTCTTTTATTAATGTGCTCTTCATCTTGTTGTCAGACTCCGGGAGGTCTCGGAGAAACTCAACAAACATAGCTATAACAGGTGAGTCTGTGTCAGCAGTGTAATTATAGGCTGCTTAGCACAGTGTGATCATCTGTTGTAAACAGGATCCCATTTATTATTTTGAATATTGTCTTATTTGTTTTGAAACAGTGTGTTGTCGGTCCAAACCATGCCGGATTTCTTCTTGAGGTAATAAGATGTTACATCACTATCGTTAATCGGACACTTTGGATCTAGATTATATGTTTATTATCTGCAGCTCACCAAAAACAGTTTAATATAATATGACAATATTTCATTTCCAATTGAGTCACCATTATCAGATGACCTCAGGCTTTGCTAAAAACATTAGGTAATGGCTTCTGTGTCACTTCCTGGTTATGTAAAATTGTGGACTTGTTTATATACAGGGCACCATCCTAATTAGGCTAATTCAGTTTTAAACACCCAGTGCCAGCATGTTCAGGAGGAGGGGGGCTTCATTCTTTGAACTACAATTTGCAATAGACTCAGTCGTATAGATTCAGGCCTTTGTTGGTTCTGAATATTTGTTGTTGTTGAGTGAGTAACAAAATAAATATATTTTTTTGGTCTGTCTTTATACAAGCTGTAATCCAGTACATTACACTCCACTTTACAAAATGTCCTTAAGAGTTTTCATTTTCAAATAATACTAAAAACTCTGAATGTATCTCTTTTAGGATGGGCGTGTTTGTAGAATCAGCTTTGCTGTACAGCCTGATCGCCTGGAGCTCAGCAAACCGGATGGCAGCGACGGGTGAGAGACTTCTCTACGATGGAATTTGTCCTGGAAACTATTTTAGCTTTGGCATCGAGTTGGAAAACAGATGGGTTGTGGAGATCTCTAGTTCAAGATGCCCTGAACCTGCACAGGCTTACTAATGGTGGTTGTTGTGATCTGAAGTATGGTTTCATTTTTAGACTTGTACTGACTTTCTGCTACATTTTTTTAGACTAATACTGACTTTTTCCTGCAAAGATCAGGAGTGAAACTGAATGCCTGACAAACCCCGTGTAAAGCTTTTGTTGGACTGACAGGCCTTGGTGTTGTGCTTGGAGATTTTGGTATCTTTTCAGTGACTCTGGTATACCGAGTTGCAGAGCCAATATTTGTTTTACAATGCAAAATTATTTTTGCTTTTTTTTTTTTTCTAATCATGACACCAAACAACCAGCAGCAAGACAGTCTTTTACATATAAAAATACTTGCTGTTTTATTGCTGTTGGCCATGAGCATGTATTTTTGGTGAATAGCTCACTGATAACTTTCGATGTGCTGCCAGCAGAACAGCATTTAACATTGATTTAAGAGAGTTTCAAGGCCCCTCTAGCTGCTAAATATGCATGTGAAACAGGATACAAAAGGCTGAGGAGCTCCCTTCTGCAGAACATTTTCCCTTACTGCAGATTTGTAAAAGAAGATGAAATGTATTAAGTTGTAATAGTCAGCACCATTTGGGGTTGCTGGGAGGTGTGCAGAAGAGAATATGGCAGTTTGTCTTTGGCAAGTGTGTCAGCTTACTTAATAAGGCCTAATAGCCAGATTGATTGAATTGTAACACAAGTTCTATGGAGAGGGTGAGCTTGTGAATGTGCTTTTTCTCTGTAGAAATATTTTGAATGCATGTTTTTGTATTCCACTGTTATAGGATGCTACTAAATGTGTTTTTTGTTGGAAATTATCTAAATTCAGTGTCACCATAGTCTGTCAAAATTGTCAGCTTAGTTTCCTTGCCACAGCAAAACACCATTAAATTGCTTACTTAGAACGGATCAGTTAAGAATACTATTATAAAGATTTTTATAAAGTCAGAAGGCAACTCATTATAAAAATATTGAAATAGGAGAAAGCTGTTGCAGCCCCTAAACCCCAAGAACCTCTACAAAGGAAAGTCTTGAAAGAGGAACGAGTTGCAGCCAATTCTGACTCCCAAGGGTGTTGCCATGCTAGTCTCCAAAATACCCCATCATGTTTCACATTATAATATTAAAATAAATCCTCAACCAAGGGGTATAATTTAACAAATACCTGGGCTAAATTTAGCTTCTGTTGACCCAGGCAATAAAGTAAGTCTTTTGGTCCTTCTGGGACTTCTGTAGGTTTGTAACTGATTTCCCATCTTTTGTTTCCAGTTCAAAGTTGAGCAGTGGTTCAGGGACAGGAAGGAGCTCCAGGCCAGGCAGGACTAGTGATCTGCCCTGGTTCCTGTCTGGCTCTGACACACTGGGCAGACTGGCAGGCAACACCCTTGGGTAAGTTCTGGCAGGGCTGACAGAGGCAAATGGTCCAATGAAAGCTCAGTGTTTAGAGCATAGCCCTGACGCTGCAGTGGCTTTGGGGGCGTATTCCCCACAGGGTTCAGTGCCACCCATTCTGAACAGAGAACTTTTGGTTACTGTAAAATGTAATGGATTAGTGGCATACATCTTTCACCTCTTTAAATTTGCAGTATACATTTTTTTGTGCTTTTGTTTATGGTCACCACTGGAGATTTGCTTAACATAATATAGTTGTTGTGGGCCCTGATATTGAAGTAGAATAGAACAGAAAGAGCTGCAGAAAAGCACTATAAATCTGCACCATTACAGTTTAAAGTTAAATTGGTTTAATATCCAAAACATGTACTTAAAAGATTTATTATACAGTTTCTATAGACTGTCATATGAGGTGGCAAGGCTTTTCTCTCACACTACCTGATTAAATAAGAAAATGCCTAGTTAATTTCTTCTGATGCAAAACCATCTCAGGCAGTCTGGACTGCCCAGTCTCTGCTGTCACAAATGGCTGAATCCCTATGTACACAGATATGTACGTGTTTTGAGCGTGCTCTGTTAGTCGCATGGTGTTTTGGCAGTTGCATCTCACCACTGCCTTGTACTGTGTGTGACAGGAGTCGCTGGAGCTCTGGTGTAAATGGAGGCAGTGGAGGTGGAGGAAGTGGAGGAGGAGCAGGGGGAGGTGGAGCAGGAGGTGGCAGCAGTGGAGGAGGAGGGGGCGGAGGAGGAGGGGGTGGTACATCGGGCAGGTCATCCACAGCAGCTCGAGATTCCCGCCGACAGACCAGGGTGATCCGTACAGGAAGGGATCGTGGCTCAGGCCTCCTAGGTAGCCAGCCGCAGCCAGTCATACCAGCTTCTGTCATCCCAGAAGAACTTATTACACAGGTACAATATTCAGAGTGTATATGCACCTTTTCTGTGTTAAACCATTTTTTGTTGCATTTTTTAAAACTTTGTTCTCTCTGAAGCAAAGTATATAGTTAATAGTACACATTTATTTAATCTGTGGTCATGAATGAGTATCAGTAAACAGTTTTTTTTTTTTTGTTTTCTTGTTACTCTTGTCACTTTCCCCCAGGCCCAGGTAGTCCTTCAGGGGAAGTCCAGGAGTGTGATCATTAGGGAGCTCCAGAGGACCAACCTGGATGTCAACCTCGCTGTGAACAACTTGCTGAGCCGGGATGATGAGGATGGAGATGATGGAGATGATACAGCCAGCGAGTCCTATCTCCCTGGAGGTCTGTCAAAAGAAACAAGAAACAAAAATGCTGAAGATGTTGGTGTTTCTTTGACAGAAGATAATTTCTATTAAATACATCACCAACTGATATGAAGTTGGGAAGACTTAGCAGAATTTCAGCACATTGTATTACAAGTAATCCTGTGTCAGACTAATACATTATTCAAAGTAATTATGATCATTGAAATAATCTAGACTATATTTAGCATAATTTTCCTAACCTGGTATCCATATGCGCCTGTGTTCCATGCAGAGGACCTGATGTCCCTGTTGGATGCAGACATTCACTCAGCCCATCCCAGCGTAATTATTGATGCTGACGCCATGTTCTCTGAGGACATCAGTTATTTTGGCTACCCCTCTTTTAGACGCTCCTCACTGTCTCGCCTGGGATCCTCCAGAGGTAACTCAACAACTCATCTCTGACTAGTGGAGGGAAGGCACTAGGGTGTTAAAGGCTTTGGCGGCAGCACTGGTGATGGCTTTTGTTTCTGGGGATGGAGCTTCAGTGGCTTCAAAGGACAAACACAACACACAAGTTTTTTTTGTTTTTCCACAGTTTTTCTGTAGATGGATTCTTAGAAAAAACTTGTCTGCGGTTTAAGATTTAATAAGAGAAATTCTTCTTATAAGCAAAACACTGTTTCACAGAAAAAGACAATAGCAAGGGTAAGGCCAAACCCCATTTTTTTTTAGGTGAAATTATTTTCCTCTTTGCTCAACAGCTATTTTACTGAAGTGCAGGTGTTCTGCTCCTTTGCTGGGGATTTTTCTCTTCAGTCTGTTAATCTGGTTTTGTAACAGTGTTACAGGCTATAAATGTTTGGTGTTATATGGTGCATGACTGTAGTATATACTGTGAGCTCTCTGAGAAAGGCCCGCTAGGCCCATCTGTCTTAACAGGGACCCTTTAATGCAGTCTATTCTAAAAACCTGCCTAGTCCATTCTCAGCCCTTTTGCATGCATCTTTCTGTCTATCCTCTTCCTCTCCTACTTCGCATTTTAACATATAAACGTGCAAACTGACTCACCCCCCAGTATAATTTAGACTGCCACTCAATCTTCATTGTTGCAATTTTGGTTTGCATTACAGTAAATTTAAAGATTATCTCTCTCTCTCTCTTTATTCTTACAACTATGTTGACGGGTCTTTCCCAGAGAGTCGCTTACTTCTGTCCCACTGGTGTGACCTTATTGCATACCAGTTCTCCTTCTTCCCTTAGAGCGCGACTCAGAGCTGTTGCGTGAGCGTGAGTCTGTGCTGAGGTTACGCGAGCGCCGGTGGCTGGATGGGGCCTCGTTTGATACAGAGCGAGGCTCCACCAGCCGTGAGGGTGAGTCCAGCCTGGACAAGAAGAGTATTCCTGTCCAGAGCCCTGTATCCTTGGGGGAGGAGCTCCAGTGGTGGCCTGACAAGGTAGGAGGAGCACAGACAGAATTGTTCATATAATCTCCATTGTGAAACACAGACATACACACCCTTCGCTGTAACATTGCAGCTTTGATTTATTCTCATTCCTTTGATCATCTATAAATGACATTTACTGAGATCTTATATTTCTTTTCCAGGATGCTGTTAAGTTTGTGAGCATTGGAGCCATGTTCTCAGAGCTGGTGGCAGTTAGCTCCAAAGGAGAGCTTTATCAGTGGAAGTGGAATGAACCTGAACCTTATAGGAATACACAGGTAGAGAAATCAATTAGTGGAATTATCAAAAAAAAAAAAACCCTATGTTTTAATTACAGCATGCATGTTTTATGCCCAGTAAGCACTGATGGTTTATTATATGTTGGAGAGCTAATAAGATTTTTTTGTCTTCAGAATCCTTCCATTCATCACCCACGTGTATCCTTCCTTGGCCTGGCCAATGAGAAGATCACCTTATTGTCTGCAAATAGCATCAGAGCCACTGTAGCTACAGAGACCAACAAGGTACATTATGATTTCTCCTCTTAAAGTGATAACATGTGCATGTCTTGCTGTTTTGTCATAATAGGTTTTGGCCACAGGATTATTTGTGCAGCCAAGACTGTGATCAAGTGACTAAATCTCTCTATAGTTACTAACATCATACATATTTAATGTATTGTTCATTAACTCACGTTTGTGTATGTGGGGTGCAGGTGGCAACCTGGGTGGATGACACACTAAGCACAGTGGCCTCTAAGCTAGAGCACAGTGCTCAGGCTTTCCCTGAGCTGCAAGGGGAACACATAGTGTCACTGCACTGTTGTGCACTCTACACGTGTGCACAGCTGGAGAATTGCCTCTACTGGTGGTGAGGAAAAAAGTGTTTTTATTCCTCCATTGAACTACATTGAATGGAATTATAATTCTCTGCTTTTAACAACACTGGCTCCTGAATGTCGCCATACATTACCCCACTAAATGTAGTTTCATAGTAATCAGAGGAGTGTACAGCAGTCAGTAAATTACAGTTCTTTTTCAGTGTTTTTGATAATTATTAGTAAATCAAGAATTGTTCCTTGCAGTCATCTGTTTTTGTCCAGATTTAGATGTCAGCAGTGTATAGATTTATATTGCAGTCAATCACTGGAAGCATAAGCTTAAAATAAGCCAATGGCTTGTCAAATCATAAGGCTTTTCTTTCTGTTCATGTTTTGCTTATATGACTACTAAAGCAAAATCTAACAGAAAATGCCATTCTCAACACGATTTGGCACCAAATCTGATTAATAACACTCAGCAGCCAGTACTGCAGAGAAAATGTAGCTGTAGTAATGGTCTTGTCCTGCTGTTTTCTGCCAAAACCATACAATGGGAACCTGTAAGCATGCAGTGTGATGATTCCTTGAGACCTGACATTTAGCAAAGATGGCAAAGTGATGTTAATACACAGTGAAAACAGTTTGTCTGCTGGATGTCAGTGATGTTTTGACACTTCACTGCTTGTGTTTGTCTGTAGGGGTGTTGTGCCTTTTAGTCAAAGGAAGAAGATGCTTGAAAAGGCCAGAGCCAAGAACAAAAAGCCAAAGTCCAGTCCTGGCATTTCCTCAATACCAAACATCACAGTGGGAACACAGGCAAGACACAAACTTTTTCTGACAGAAGTGCATTCAGAACCTCTTCTTTTGGAAGTCTTCCATGTAGATGTTTATTATAGCTTGGTCTTTGTCTAGACTTAAGAATCATGTTAGGGGAATTATGCTAGTCCTTCATTTAGTGTAAAAGTAATTTATTTTTACTAATAAATGTGCCTATTTCTTCCTTAGGTGTGCTTGAGGAATAACCCCCTCTACCATGCCGGTGCAGTGGCCTTTTCTGTCAGTGCTGGAATTCCCAAAGTGGGTGTACTGTTGGAGTCTGTCTGGAACATGAATGACAGCTGCAGGTTCCAGCTGCGCTCACCAGAGAGTCTTAAGAACATGGAGAAGACCACCAAGACCCAGGAAATCAAGTCAGTTTCATCAAATCTAACAAAAGTCTTAGTTTCTCAAATCCACGTTATTTTAGTTAGTACTAGTTAGAAGATATATATAGACCAGAGAGAGCTCTGCTAGATTTCATGAATCCAACAGTAAAATTCAACTCAATATCTTGGTCTTACCCATAGGACTGAAAGCAAGCCAGAGCTGGTGAAGACTGAGATGGGTCCTCCTCCGTCCCCAGCATCTACCTGCAGTGATACCTCTTCCATTGCTAGCAGTGCTTCACTGCCCTACAGTATGTCAGCTTCTCTCTCCTATGGCCCGTAACACACCAAGCTGACGGTCGGCCATCGGCCACTGTCGGGCCATCAGTGAGCATCTGTTTCCCTAGTTTTTGCGGTGTGTCCCATTCTGTTGGCGCTAGTCGGACCCTGTCAGTGGCTTTTTAGCCAACTCGGTGTGTTGAATTGGCAGCAGAGGCCGTTGGTGAGAGAGACCACTCTGATTTGGATGTTTAGCTTAGCGAAGCAGTGCATGAGAAGAGAGAGGTTCTGCAAAGCCCCTTGAGCTGCTTTAAGCCTGTCGCTGTAATATCCATTTCACCCATTTAGTGCAGTCTCTCCTTACTTTTTACTTCCACATCTTCCTTTTTTCTTCCACAACCAAAAGACCAAGGGATGACAATGCCAGTGCTGTTTGCATGTTCTTATCAAACATATTCTTGATTAGAAGCAGCTATAAACCATCTGTGGTGAGTGAGAGCTGCTTTTTTTTAACTTTGTGTATATCCACAGTCCTAGGGCTTCCCTTTTTGAATGTCAAATACAGACTACCACCACCTGCTGGTATGGAGAGTTATTTCCTCAAGCAAGTGCAGAACATGCATGCTAATTGACCACCTGGCTGTAGTCTGTGCGGTGTTTTCAAGTGCCACTTTTTGACTCAGACGAAGGGGACATGAGGCATTGCATCAGTCAGCTTTCATTGCTGCTAGTTCTTTGATGTTGGCTTAGTGTGTGTCTGCCTTATCTGTCCCTTTTAACCTCTAGCTCTCAATGGCACTTAGGTCTTAACTTTCCTTTCTATCTCCCAGCCACAGAACCAATTTCTTCCTCATTCTGTACTCTCATTAGTCCTCTGAAACAGATGGTGCACAGGCTTTTATCAGCCTCTTTTCCTGCAACGGAACTCTGGCCAGCTCATGATGTATACTGGGTTGATGTCTACTTCCTCTTGTCACATGAACCATACAGATAGCTGCCAGAGTTGGTTATTTATTTTCCTTAGTCCACACAAAAGGTTTTATGCCTTGGTCACCAATATACATATTTATTAGGAACACCTGTACAACTATATGCACTTCAGTGCAACACTCCTGCCTTAACATCTGTGTTGATGAAACTCAAAATGTTTCAGTTTTTGGTGAACTTTTTATAAATGTATAAATACAATTATATGTTTATTATTGAGGTCATAGATAAAGATGGTGGTGTACTGGACTATATTATATTCAGAATTATCGATTATATTTTTGCCCTTCCCAGCTACATGCATGAGAGGGTCAGAATATTAGGAACACCTCTGAATATAATGTAGTCCAGTACAACAGCACCTTTAACTATGACCTCAATAATAAACATAGATTTGAATTCATACATTCATAACCACCAAAAACCGAAACAGTTTGAGCTTCATAAACACAAGATGCTGAGATGAAAGTGTTGCATTGAAGCGCATACAATTATACAGGCATGCCTAATGGTTTAGTTTGAATATACACTATTATGACCAAAGGACTGAGTTAATATGCTGTACTACTTGCAGAGCGACGGCGTTCTACCCCAGCTCCCAAAGAGGAAGAGAAGGTGAATGAGGAGCAGTGGCCTCTCAGGGAGGTTGTGTTTGTGGAAGATGTAAAAAATGTTCCAGTGGGAAAGGTGGGTGCCTTTGAAATACAGTATTGTGTATATAAGATTAAAGTTAGTAATATATAGGAATAATAAGTAATACGGGTGTCTGCTTTGTCCCTTTTCTGTCTACTTGTTTCTGTATCAAGACATTACAGTTTCACTGCTTCATATTCTGTCCTAGGTACTCAAAGTGGATGGTGCATATGTTGCTGTGAAGTTTCCAGGGACATCAAGCAGCATGAGCAACCAGAGTACTGCTGCTCCCACTGACTCAGACCCATCATCACTGTTGCAGGACTGTAGACTCCTCAGGATAGATGAACTACAGGTTCATATTCAATTTGACCAGATTTTTCTTGTCTTCATTTTAGTATTTGAAGTTCAGAGTTAATAATTGAAGAATGTGTCTGTGCAGGTTTGAGAATCCATCCTCCTGACTTTTATGTTCACTGTCTTGTTATCTCTTCAATCTGTTCCTGACAGGTGGTCAAAACTGGTGGGACTCCTAAAGTTCCAGATTGTTTTCAACGCACACCCAAAAAGCTTTGTATCCCAGAAAAGGCTGAAATTCTAGCTGTGAATGTTGACTCCAAAGGTGTGTTTGTCCTTTTATATGTCAGTATATACTTTATCAATATATTTGCTTAATGTCTTTAGTTTTCTGTACATTTGTATTTATGTATGGAGTATTTCTAACTTTTAAGCCTCTCTCCACCTTCCAGGAGTCCACGCAGTGCTGAAAACTGGTAACTGGGTAAGGTACTGTATCTTTGACCTGGCCACAGGCAAAGCTGAGCAGGAAAATAACTTCCCTACTAGTAATCTGGCATTCTTGGGGCAGAGCGAGCACAATGTGGCCATCTTTACTGCAGGACAGGTGAGATGACTCCCCAAATAGGTAATGCGTTGTTGCAGATAAGCACAACAGTTTGTACTGAACCTTATGTTCAGTGTGTTTTTAAAATGTTGAAATTATGTTTTTTTTCTCTTCCTTCCCCAGGAGTCTCCTATCATCCTTCGAGATGGAAATGGCACAATCTACCCAATGGCCAAAGACTGCATGGGTGGAATTCGAGATCCTGATTGGCTGGACCTGCCACCTATAAACAGCCTAGGAATGGGCGTGCACTCTCTGGCCAATCTCCCTTCCAACTCCACCATTAAAAAGAAAGCTGCTGTTATTATCATGGCTGTTGAGGTAAAAATGAGCTTATAATAATCAGAACAAAAATTAACTAATTGATAACTGGTGAATTAAGTGTTATTTCCTGCCCTTAAAATGTGAAAGTTTTCCCTTGGGTACATTGTTACCTTGCAAAGTTGACCTCGCCAGTTTTACTGCTAGTTTTTACCATTTTATTCACGTTTCTATCATAAGTATATCTGAAAGACCTAAATGTAATGCTGTCTGTTCAAGTGAAATAACATAGGCATCCAAATGAGCGACCATAATCAGTACTCACTCATCCTCCCTGTCTCTTACAGAAACAGACACTGATGCAGCATGTGCTACGTTGTGACTATGAAGCCTGTCGGCAGTACCTGGTGAATCTTGAGCAGGCATTCCTTTTGGATCAGGGCAGCCAGGCCCTTGCAGCACTTCTAGGCCACCGCTGTGATGGAAACCGCAACATCCTCCACGCTGCTGTCTCTGTATGCTTCCCTGTTAGCAACAAGGAGACCAAAGAGGAGGAAGGTAAGCTCTAATAGCTGGGTCTAACGATCTAAAGTTCGAATTTATTAGAATTATCTTAATTTAAAGGTTACAGTTCTATTTTTCTTACTAATGTCCCAGTTTGCCATTGCCATCTTTATTAGAAATTTGTACTGTGAAAGAATATTACTTTCTCAACACACCATCCCAGCTTGAGTCTGCTCGCCGGTGTTAGTTTAATTGCCTGCTTTCTCTTGACTCTCTCCTCCTGCTAAGTGATCACCCTGTTTCATTTCAGAAGCTGAAAGGTCAGAAAGAAATACATTTGCAGAGCGCTTGTCTGCTGTGGAGGCGATTGCCAATGCCATCTCTGTGGTTTCAAGCAACAGCTCTGGAAACAGGACTGGGTCCTCCAGCAGCAGAGGGTAAATTACCCGTTGTACTATTTTTACCCTTTTTCTTTCTTTCTTAATATGCAGAAAACTGCAAATATCATTTAGTACACAAGGCTCACTAAGAAAAGAACCATTTTGCTTTCCAATTTCAGTGAGCTGCTATACAGTAACATCAAAACATGTGCACTGATAATCTTACTTTGGGTGCCATGTTTTATTACGTTTCACACTTCCAGGATTCGTTTGAGGGAGATGATGCGGAGGTCTCTCAGAGCGGCAGGTCTTGGCCGTCATGAGTCCGGTCCATCATCTAGTGACCACCAGGACCCTGTGTCACCACCCATTGCCCCACCAAGTTGGGTTCCTGACCCCCCACCCATGGACCCTGGTCAGTGCATCCTAACAAGTGTAAAATTAGTGGATTGTCTCTGTGTGCAACATCCTCTAGCAGTGGACTGTGATGGTCATTTAATTATGTGAAAACTCCCACACTAGGTAGAAATCTTAGTGTGTACCCTTTGTCAGTAATATTTGGGTGTGAGTTGATTAATTTACAGGTCTGGGCATAGGTAAAAATTTACTAAATGTGGGTAGACTGTGTGAAATATACACGACTTCAAAATAAAAGTTCCAGTTAAACATTTAAACCAGCATAATTTTATGAAGTCGATTTAGCTACTGTGATTTTTTTTTTTCGTTAACTGTGAATGGCTACAACACAACCTGTCACCCCTCAATTAATTGTCATTCCAGAACTGAGAATGCAGCTGACTGATGGCAATGAGATGCAGTATACAAAACGGCAGACTAGCCATTGTGCAAGCACTGTTGAAGTTAAGGGTGGAAATGTTTACAAATGTTTATAAACGAGTACTTTCAGATTTTTGACAGTGTGTGTACTTTTTCCATATGGCGGTCTACTGCCCAGGATGCAAATAACAGCATGCTCCGAGGGGTGTGGGGGCGATGACAACAGATACTACTGAGACTTCTGTAAAGTTGGAGAGGTTCCAAGTTCTTGGAGCAATACAGCATAAACAAAACATTGTTAAATTACATACAACACCGTTTACAACCGCAGTAAGGTCGACAAGCTACAGCTACAGCCAAGGCTTAGTTTGTTTAAGCTTAAGTTGTAGCTTGTACATTTGGAAGGAGCTGTCGTTTGGGTTTGAATATGTGAATATTTTTCAAACTTTGCTGCAGAACTGAGGTGTGCACTAGTTGAGAAATATTGATATTCAGGTACAAGTAACCCATGGGTGCACAAAACGTCATATGAAAGCAGCTTATGAGCCAAGATAAGTAGTACATAGGCTGCACATGTCCTGATCAGCACCCTATAGGCATTTCTGAGAGCAGGTAAAGTCAGTCCATGCACTGCTGTCATGAGGTGTCTTTGATCCACTGCAGGGGTCTGTGATATTGTAGCTATTTGATGCTTCTTTGGGCAATAAGGTGAAAATATATTTTAATTTATGGAGAAGTTACAAGATGTTTAAACCCACCACCCCCCCATGCTGTTGCCCCTCAAACTTATTTAACCTTCTGGCTTTCACACACTGGTAGATCTACCAGAAGTTACAAGTATCAATGGGTCAATTCCTAATTTGAAAGAAGTGTGAGGTGTGAAAGAGTTCTAGAGATGTACAATCCTGATATAAGGGTTTCAGCCACCATGTTGTATGGTGAAATTTTTTACATCTTAAAACTGGAGATCTTAACTTGACCTTCTCACTGGTACCTTGTGGCAGCCTACCCACTCCACTGTAACCCGTGAGTTGTTTTGCCATAGTTGTCAAATGACTTTGTAGTGATATTTCTCACAAGGTTAGTGAAATATACATTATTTTATTCAACAGATGGTGACATTGACTTCATTTTGGCACCAGCTGTGGGTTCACTCACCACTGCCTCCTCTGGGACCAGCCAGGGACCCAGCACTTCCACCATTCCAGGTACACGACATCCTCACTGGAGGAGGAGATATTTTTACTGCAAGTCAAGATTTCTGGAAGTTCGGTCATTTGTATTTGGGTAGGATACAGCTACACTGGTCTCAAACTTGGAAAGTACAACCCGTGTTCCCAACACAGTGTCTTTAAACATATGCTGTAGAGAAATAGAAAAGAAGTGAGTATTTTGTATTTTTGTAGTGTTGATACATGTCTCTAGTGAATAAATTGACTCATGGTATTTTCTAATGTATGTAATCTTAGTGGTATCAGTATAAACTATTGCTCCATCAGCTGTATATATCTTTGGTATTCAAATGCTGCTTAAACTGTTTGATATTTGTCATTTTATGAATTGTGGTCTCCATATAAACAGGGCCGTCTACTGAGCCACCTGTAGTTGAATCTAAAGACAGGAAAGCCAATGCCCATCTTATCCTAAAGCTGATGTGTGACAGCGTTGTTCTGAGGCCACACCTAAGGGAGCTGCTCTCTGCAAAGTACATTCCTTTATTTCTACTGTATATTAGCATACTTACAAATACCTGTATGTTATTACTCTATTATTGTATTGTCCTGATTTTTGATTCGCTGTCTGTCCCTCTAAAGTGTGCGCATATATTGTGTTGTCTGTTTTACAGGGATGCCCGTGGAATGACTCCCTTCATGCTGGCTGTCAGTGGGAGAGCCTACCCAGCAGCCATCACTGTATTGGAAGCTGCTCAGAAAATGGCTAAGGGTAAGTTAATAAGTCAGCTTTCTGCATTCTGCTATGAACTGGTTTGTCATTTGATGGGCGATGGTCACAGTTACAAACCTGCACTTAAATGCCAGCTCTTCATGCTTGGTATTATGTATTTATACTCCATGTGTTGTCATGTGGTCCTGACACAAACAGAATGGAGAAAGAAAGAAATGCAACCCCAAATCAGAAAAAGTTGGGATGGTATGTAAAATTAAAACTAAAAATAAAAATTTGTAAATCATTTGTGTCCTGTATTATACTGAAACCAATACAGCAGCACATTATTTGATGTGATACTTCATTGGTTTTATTCTTTGTTCAAAATAAACACTTCAATTCTGATGTCTGCAACACATTCCAAAAATAGTTGGGAATCATCATTTCATTGTTTTACCTCATTACTAGTCCCGAAACTGTCCCAAGTTTTGTATATTTTGAGAAAGCAACATATTTATTGTGAATCAAATTTGACCTGGTGAGGAAACAGCAGGAACTTTGGAATTTATCCATGAGTTATGTGAATCCTGACATTTTGCTGCCCTGCTCACAACAGCCACCTGCCATGTTATAACATTGTCCATTTTCTTATTTTCCTTTCTTTCCTGAAATGCCTTGAACGCAGTGGGTGACCCTAGCATTGCTGAGAAGGAGGATGCGGATTCTGTATTCATGGAAATGATTTGCCCGTCCGGCACCAACCCAGACGATTCTCCCCTGTATGTTCTGTGCTGCAATGACACCTGCAGTTTCACTTGGACTGGAGCTGAGCACATTAACCAGGTCAGCCCTACAGGATGTCATTACACTGCAGTTTAAAGGGAAAACCATTTCCATATCATTTATGTTGTGTGGCCTCTGTTTGCCACAGTTTCATTGTTGGCTCAGTTTTACGTTTCCAACAACTTGTGGATCAGGATGCATGTGTTTTGTTGTTTTGGGCTTAAAAGTGTCATCTGTGTAACCCTGCTATAGCCTATTTGGTTAAATGTGAACAGGGTTGACCCAAATTCAGAGCAGATACATTTATCAAAATGTACTCGTCAGCGGGCCCCAAAGGAATCTGCACCCGCAGAATCTCAGAATCAGAATCTGCTTTATTGCCCAGGTGTGTCGGCCATACAAGGAATTTGACTCTGGTACATCGGCTCTCAGTGTGTATGTACATATCCCCATGCAAGGGGCAAGTAAACAGTAAACCAGCATAAGGCTGTGTAATATAACAAAATAGCAGTATTAACAAGCAACAAATAGTGCAGACAATGCAAAGTAAGCAGTATAAACAGACAGTAAACAATGCAGACAGACAAAGGAATGCTCATTGTGAAATGAGATAAATAGGAATAAAAATAAAGTACTTAAAAATAGACCTGTATGAATTTTCCACAGCTTTTGAAGAGAAAGTAGAAACACAGAATGTAAGCATGCATTTGCCCCATCTGCATGTGTGCAACAGTTGTGCGATGCTGTGAATGGTTTTGTCATTTTCCAAGCCAAGAATCCAACATTCACATCAACTTCATGCCTTGACTGGCTAGTTGTACATCTCTGTCTGGCGCTTCCTTTTCATTCCTTACACAACAATCTGTCACATCTCATGTCAACTTCCAGACCTGTTCCCCTCAGCAGCCTATGTGAACAACCCAGGTTAATGTCTTAACAAAAGTATTAATGTCTCCTGACCAGATTATCTGGAAACACTCGTTATCCCAACTGCCCCCTCCGCACCCTCCTTTTTTGCGTGGTGGTTCATCAGTAGCTTATGTCTAAAGAAACTGAACTTTGCAATACAGTGGCCATATGTCCTTATTGAATTTCATTCTGGTGAAATTTCCAAGAAATGTTCACACTTTGAGCATCTTGAAATGTGGATGAAATAAAAAAATGTTCAAATTTAAAATTTCATACAAATTGATTTATTTCACCCTGCTCAAAATTATTTTAGGCTGCTTTAATGCATTTTTGTGTTTACTTTTGCTAAAAAAAATTGCTGTTAGCTAAATTTTTTTTTACAAGCAAGAAAATTAAACAAAAATTTGCTCTGCAGAACTTCACAGATTTCCATCCTGAATAATGGCAGAAAACAGTTTAAAAAAAACTAAACAGATTCCGTTTGGGCCTGCTCATCACTATATCGTTATAAATGGGATTTCATTAATGTCATTTAATTATCTTGGTGGTTGTATTGCCCTGCCTTAGTGGAGCGGAACATAACTCCACATAGCTTCTGATAGTGTTCCTTTTTGCTGCACAAGTGGAACATCAGCAATTTGGGAGAGTTGTTTGTGAAGCTCTTCAGTATATAATGTTCAGTTGTGAGCTGACACTGACATTTTTTATCGCACTGACTTTGTATTCAGGACATCTTTGAGTGTCGCACCTGTGGCTTGCTGGAGTCTCTTTGCTGCTGTACAGAGTGTGCAAGGGTGTGTCACAAAGGACATGACTGCAAGTAAGTTCTAGTTTTGAGGGTGACCTTATGTAATCTTCTAAAGGTTCAAGTTTTACTTAACATTGCTTTTCATCACTTTTTTTCCAAAGTAGGTCATACACTGCCAGGCCACATTAATAATAATTGCACATGTACAGTTGTATGCAATTCAGTGCAACACTTGCATGTTAACATCTGTGTTTATGAAGCTCAAAATGTTTCAGTTTTTGGTGAAATTGTCATGAATGTATAAATTCAATTTGCTGTTTATTATTGAAGTCATAGTTAAAGGTGCTGTTGTACTGACTAGATTATATTCAGAGGTGTTTGTAATATTATGACCCTAATATTTTGATCGGCATCTTGATATGCCACACCTGTGAGGTGGATGGATTATCTCGGCAAAGGAGAAGTGCTCACTAACACAGATTTAGACAGATTTGTCAACAATATTTGA